AACAATGAAAGTCTTCCATTATATAGGAACAAGATGTATTCACTTCCACAGTGACTATATAAGACCCCCAATAAGAGTTTTCTCAAGGAATATGGCATATTTCCGTTGCAGTATTACATTACTTTATCTTTACTCGTAATTACGTAGTAAAGAATGAAAGTAATAATGTCAATGAATAGTGATTGATACCTGTCCCAAAGATAGTGATCCTTAAATGTTAATGTAAATAAATAGGGTCCTTATCGAAATTTATATAAAAATCAAGAGTTTTCTATTCATAATAAATGTAGTGTTATGTGTTACCTAATAGATATTCTCCTTAATAAAAGCCATAATAAATTTCAATAACTTCATACAAAATGTATGTAATTAACTACAAAGTCAGACATTACACCGAAGTGTGTGAAAGGAGTGTTGTGTTATACAATTACTAAGTGTGACCCATTCCATATATTTATATTTGAAAAAGTAAATTTAATTAACACTGATATATTTTACAACTAAAGTAATTATCGAACAGAATCGGTATCAATATTGATATATTAATAGGAAAACAGCATACGATAGGAAATTTTTTTAATTCGTCCATAAAATTCTGAAGAAATTACTCTTTTGGATCCATACTGCGTTTTCACGCACAAAAATATTAGGTTGTGAAGGATTAGTCTATCCCTCTCAGGGAATGAGCTACTGGATAGATGGTCATAATTAATAGTGAGCCATGGTCTTTCCTTTGAATTCTTACCTGAAATTAACCTGGAGCCAATTCTCAAATGTTCTAGTAATCACTGAACCGAACGAGCAACATTTATTCTTTTCTGTACGATTTTATTATTTCCTTGCACCTACACAGCTTTCGTAAATGTCCAGCAGTGAAGGGATTAGAGCAACTTCATAGTTTTTAGAGCTTCAGATGTGAAAATGACCATTCTAACCCTATAAACTATATTTCTATAATCTATATTTCTATTGGATGTAATCCAAAATCGGACGGAAGGAGGGGTTAACCAAGGAAGAGGAGCGGAGGAGCCACAGACGAAGAAACGGATAGACGGAGAAGCGGAGGTTTTCTAAAAAACCTGTTTTGATAACCCCAACACAAGTATTTTCATCCAAAATCTCGTTTTTTGAAGCTTTACATAACTGTCTATACTACGAGAGTCACTGACTACTTCATAAGTGTTGCGACTATCGTCGGAATCTGACCAATTCGTGATTAAGGTGGTTAGTGTTTACATTAACCAAAATTGGATTTATTAAGACTGAAGTACAAGAAGCAACATCTTAGCAACCTATCTTGAATATTATTCCAAGTGCATATTAGCCTTAGTGAGGTAATTAAGGAAGATGAAGTACGGTACGGTGATTAGAAATAGCAGATGTGTGATAAACAGAAATCAGATTGTTGGTGCGTTTCTAAGGCTAATGAGAAACCAGGTGCGTAGTTCCCAGATTCTCTGTGTCAGTCGTAAATTTCTATTTGCACCTGGGAAGTCAAGGTCGCGGGCAAGGTCATTAGGAAATTAGAGTTCTGCGTCCAGAGAAACGTATGTGTTGTACAAAATTCTCCGGGGTGCCGGTACATAACTGGATGTCTGGTCCATCACAGTCATGTGAAGAAGTCAGTTGACATTGTCCCCAAATTCAGCTATGTTAAATATTAACATATTAATAAATAAATATTATTTCCTCTACCAAAGAAAATGAATTATCCTTCTAAATGATATGCATGAGTAACATTTGAGCTTATCAATTGGGAATAAAATTGAATAATTTTGAACGAATGATAAAAATTTACTAATCACGTTTACTTGCATTGCAATAATTGCATTTACTTCGTACGTTTTCATTAGAAACAAAGATTCCCCCCTATTATACGATACCGCCTAACCTAATCTAACTTTACCTAGCCTTACCGTACATTCCTGTTGATTGACTATGACTTGTCAACTGCAAAATCATTAGTCCTGTAAATGTAGTGTACTTTCTCGTCGGAGGTGGCTGTAATCTATCCCCGCTGGATGGTGAAATTCAGCACCGACCGTCATCGATTTGCGGAGATTTTCTCTAACCTGTGAAACACCGCCCCAGCTGGGACAAGCTCTAAGTTCCCGATACGTTTAGTTAATGTAAGTGTAAGTAGTGTAAAATTGTGAGGATATGACAAGAAAGAGGAAGGAATGATCGCGTGCGGTCCGTGGTCATTCCTTCGTGATGATCGGAGAAACACAAAACTAGCGATCAGTGCAGCCGGCCACTGGAATTATCCTCCAGATAGAAGCTGAATTCGACCTAAATGGCAAGCTAGTGCCGAACATCATGCCAAACGTCGCCTACTATACACACATCAATTGGTGCCCTCAACCATTTTTGCCGACGTTCACTTGATGATTCGGTAAGGATTTCCGAATTCGAGCTAGGAGGCTCCCACCTTCGAAATCTTCATAAAACAATCTTGGGTCTGTAATTCTGTGCAACATGTGTTTTCCAGTGCATTTAATGCAAAAATAATTGTCGCGAACACGTAAGTAGCCTTACCGAAAACCTTTCTAAATCTTACAGTGGCTAAAGGCACCATTAGCCAGATGACGGCAGAAATTGTCCATCAATTGTTTTTATTTCACGGGAACTAATATTTTCTTTTTTTAAAAACGCTCGTTTGCACATTTATTCATAATTCAACTAGTATAGAGGTTAGGGTTGAGATACTAGAATTTAAGAAAACGTGCACAGAGTACACATCTCTCCATAGTACGTTACACTGTTTTAACTGTTTTTGAGATATATGTAAATAAAAAATTTGGATAATGTGCAAATTCACCAGCTAATTCATAAAAATTGTCATATTTCACACTATAACCGTAAACTGTGTACATATGAAACATTTTAGTACATAAAATAAAAATAGAGATTTATCAGCATCAACATACGAATTTGAATAATGTTTTTCTAATTATGAAAAGAAGTAACCTAAAGAAATTTAATGTCAAAGTTTAAAATTACAAAATAACCCATTTAATTTTATTTGTATGATATATGATATTGTACATGTGATGTTCTACATGCTTTCTCAGAGAATTATTTCCTGATTTAAATGTCTACAAGACAACATTACGACACGAAAGAAAATTGTCGATCTCTTAATAATATGGAGCCAACAGAAAATAGATTTATATATCCTCATACACTACATTGCAAACTCATTTTATTTTCAAATTGTAGAAGTATATTACATATGTTATTTCATCGTCCGGCATTGGAAGAAGTATGTGAGACTTGAATACATTTTAAGCAATATTTTCTGCATTAGATCATTAGTTCATACGGATGAAGTTCACAAGCATTTATCACGTATAAAATAATTATGTAATTTTTCTTTAGAACAATGTATTTTCCTTTCTCTGGCATAAATATTATTAATGAAGAATACCGCGAAAATTGTGATATACACGTTTGACACTCAATTACATAATACATTCCACTTACTGTACGGCAAGGTCATGTCCAAATTAGCTACTTAGTGCCTGAGATGAGTAACTCACATGAGGTAGCTAACTAAGCTGGAGTAGTGCGCGTTCATGTTATTCGGACCCGTTCCTTAACCAAGATTTTTAAATAGACACGTGATCACTTTGACACTAAATCACTGGTCTTGAAAAGAAATTTGAAACTGGATTTGTGTTTTACACAATACATTTCATTACAAATTACTTTACAGTGCTATGATATTGTATTATACGGGTATTTTACCACTTGTCACTGGCTAACATGACTTACATTTGAATCCTCTTCTTTCAACAATGAAAAATTAAAAAATTATCAATACCAAGAATTCTAATTGAGCACTGTTGGTAAATCACTTATAATTATTTCTGAAATAAATATTTTTGTATTGTATTCTGCACGTCACTTTCTAGGTAAAATTAGCTTTATGTAACACTAAGAGAAACTATATTATTAAAAACCTGTTCGAAGTCGATTTTTGTCGTTTCGTGCAGGGCAGGCCCGTCCAAGGTATATTTTCCGGGCACAATAACCCCCACGGGTATTAAGCGACAATAGCACAATGATGTTTTTTTCGTGATGCTTGATAAAAACAAGGGGCATTTTCCAGGCTTCGGCGCAGAAATCGCAGCTCAGGGCTAATGGGGCCCACTGGCATTCACTTGGGGCGCGCGCACTCAACGGTTCCAGATTGCGAGCACCGTACTACAACGGGTTACTCCCAGGCGGAAAGTGAAGGCGATGAACACGCTTAAAAAGAGTTTTTCTCTTCAACGTAATATAGATATCGGTGTGGATTTCCGACTTGAGAATACAGTTTGAAAACTATCACACATTCAGAACAAAAAAATTGAAATTTTCTGACATCACAATGAACTATCAGGCAAAGTGTCCACATAAAGAGGTCGTATCGTATAAGAAATCGTAAGTTAATGTTCGTCCTGTATGTAGTATGTTAAAAATTAGGAAAATCTACTGTTTTGTTGCTATCATCTCGTTTGTCATTTTTATCACTATAGAAACGAACATGTTAACAGAACTGTGCCATAAAATAACATTACCATGACATATTTATTAAAAAAAACTTTGTATATCACCAAAATTTGTTTCCAACACGAACACCTGGTTTATTTCGTAATGAAATGTGTGTATAATAGGAAACGTCTAAAATAAGAAATGCTGGCGGAGTTTTTAAACGATTACAAATATTACAATAAACGTTCTTCAAATGCACGAGTGTGTTCATAAAAGGTCTGAGTAACGGTTGTTAATCATTCACAATACAAGCACCTAAACGTCGTTTGGTCAATTAAAAAAACTTTAAACCTGGATGTAACCGAAGATGCCCTACAAGCGTGGCCGAACCAGGCCAATGTTTTCTTCTGCGATGGCCCTGACATCACTTGTAGTAGTACTCCTTGACGCTCCGGGCGCTTGCCGAGCCCTCGCCCGCGCGGAGCAGCCGTCCGGGGCGTCGCGGCCGGGCGCTCGCTTACCAGGTCGTCGGCCACGAAGACGACGATGTGCGGCTGTTGGGCGGCGCGGGCGGCGTCGGCGGCCGG